CCCCCCCTCCCCTCTTCTTCCCGATTCCTCTCATTCCCCCCGCACACACTCCATCTACTACCAAATACTGGAGAAGGATCTGAAGTTAATCATGCCTAAAAAGAGGAAAGAACGTCAGAAGGGTAACGGCTATTGGAGCATGGAGTGTGCCAGAAGAAGAGTTCACTCTCTGTTCAGAGCACATCTTTGCACCCACTACTGGTATTGCAAACATCAAGTCATGGTGTTATTTGTTCATGAAACAGAGAGAGAGAGAGAGACTTATTATGTGAAATGAAGTGGTCTAAGGGAATACGGAAAAACTGCTGGCATTGGATGGTCAAGCTGTTGGACAGCTAGCAATATGGTGTAAACGTAAGGACCCGCCCAAACACCGACTGAGAACACAGCTGATTTCTGAGTTTGCCACTAGAATGAATGCCTTGCTCAGATTCCCGCTTTCTGCTGAGTTTCCTAATTCTGTGTGTGCGCGTGCTTGCTGGTCTGCACACCTGTCTGAGTGCTTGTCGGCTTGAGTGTGTGTGTGACCCGCAAGGGCACTTGCTCGCTTGGAAGGCCCGGGAGGGCCGGTACTTACCTGTGGCTGTGACATTGAGGGTTGCCAGGGATAACACTCAAGTAGCGGGAGTAGGCCCGTGACACTTCGCGCCGCGGGGTAAAAGCACCCAAGTAGCCGATAGGCCGGTGCCACTCAAGTAGCGGTACACGAGTCAGGGACTGGAGGCCGAGCAGAAGAAGACAAAAAGTTGGCATTTTTTGAGACCCAGTAGTTGTAGGCTAGGTCTAGGTGGGTACCGGTGCAAGTAGTCTGAGTCTAGGGCCTGTACGGGCGATATCAGAGTCTGCAATGATGTTTCCCTCCGAAAGGGAGGAAGTACCAGTTGCTTGGAGGCCGTGCGGCCTGGAAGTCACCGCCCAAGAGGCAAGTTGGCCGTTATATCTCCAGGAGGAGCACATTTGCTGCGTGCAAGTTGGGCGACACGCTGCTGGAGCACATGATGCGGGTGTACTGCGCTGTGGGGAAGGAGCAGCGCCCATCTCCCCACCTTGGCCATGGTGGAGGAGCTCGGGCAGGAGGAGGAAGAAGGGACTAGGAGAGGGGAGGGCCAGCGGTACTTACCTGGCTATGGTGGACGTCATCTCCATCACCTTGGTGGGCGCTGCATCTGGAAGGCCCCCGTTGGGGTAGAGCTGCACCAAGAAGCTTTGAGGCAGAGTCAGGCATGGCGGCCTGAGTGGAAGAGCCCATAGCTGCTTTGCGTTGTCTTTTGAACAGCAGGGCACGGCCCTAGTAGTCCGCCATAGCCTCGGCCTAGGTGAAGAGGAAGGAGAAGGGCGGCCATGGCTAGGGTGACCCTCAAGTTGTGCCGACAGTAGAAGAGGGATTCAGACATTGATTCTGGTTCTGCCATTCATCATTATTATTATTATTTATTTATTTATTGTTTGAATAAGACGTGAGGGGGAAGGGAGGAGAGTTTGGTTGGCAAGACAAAGGGGGATTATCATTGGTCTTGCTGGTGTACATCTTCTTCGTCTTCTTTCCTTCTTCTTCTTCGTCTTCTTTCTCTCTCTCCTCTCAAGTTCATTGATTTCGTTCTGCAACCGGACGGCATTGTGCTTTCTCGTTATTTTGCATTTAGAAACTGGCCACGATCGAAAGTTTGAAACATAAAGGTTTTTGGCTTCTGAAGTTTTGAACAATCCAGGAGCTGACTCCATAAAGGCAAAACAGTGCACCCTCCTTTTATTTTCCCCAAAAGCAAACCTTACAGAAAGAGAGGCAAATCACCCAGCTCATGTGGCTGAATAGTGAGTGCCCACAATGTAATTATCAGAAAAAAAAAACAGTCCACAAGTTCGAATCCTGATGGAATCAGTTGACCATACTACTTCTACAAGCGGCTGACTGCGAGGATTTGGCCCCTCGGCAGTGCTGGAAAAGGCCTTGCCCGCCCTAAGTAAAGGCGGGCCTGCCAATATGTGCCAAGACCTGGGTACAGGCCAGTGTGATCACGCTAAAGGGGCCGTTGAAATCTATATGCGGGCATGAATCTTTGCAGTAGCTCTTCTAGGGCTCACCCCACATCTCGGCTGAGGCCCCGTACAGACTTATGCCCGCCCTAAGTGAAGGCGGGCCATAATATTTACAAGAGGCCTATTTCTGTCAAATTCTGTATGTGGGGTATCAGACAGTTGCAGCACGCCAGTTGGTTACAAATTAACGTGAGCCTTTCCAGGCTCTTTCCAGAGGCTGCTGTTCCTCAACGGGCAGTTGAGCCCAGGTCCCCGTACAGTTAAGGCCTTGGGCGTGTGCATCCAGAGGCCGACACATCACACAACAGCCACGGACCAATGAGATTGCAGCATTGTCGGCACATACTGGCCGTGAGCCAACGAGATCACAGCAAATATGTGGAGGCCCGTGGACTGCCTGGAGGTGCCCAACTGTAAAGGGCACAGGCCCGTAACTGCAACTGGGCCTGGGCGCAGACATTGAGGCCCGACTGGAAGCTACTGGACGCTCGCCCAGCCAGGCCCAGAGGCAGCAGAGGCTGAGCTCACTTTCCATATAGGAAAGTGAGCATCGCTGGGGAGGTCATTCTGGCCTAGGCAGGCAATGCGGCCACACTGTTGCGTTGCAACTTCGTGATCTGCACGAAGCTGCTGGCTGGGTCGCGCGCACGGGGGCTGGGGTATGAGGTGCACTGCTGGGCAAAGGGCGCACGGCAGCCATAGCCGGGCTGCTGGGCGCAGGTCTGGATGGTGATGGTGGTCCCGCACACTGTGCGGAAGTCAAGGGTGATGTGAGAGGAGGAGACACACATACCTGGTGTATGCTGGCGGTCTGCTTTGGTGACGACGTCACGTACATTCGTCTTCGACTTCGATGTGATCCAGTTGCATGAACTTCAGATAGGCATAGATAGGCTGAGTAGTGTAGGCTGGGCGCCGGGCGCCAGACAGTAGGAGCGACATTGGATACTGTGTTGGTGTGACCAGAGAGCGTCGACATGGGCGCACGAGTTCATTGTACTGCTCTTATTTGGATGGTATCTTTGGTGATTTTGCAATCTGGATTTCTGTCTATCAATCTCACTCGTGTTCCTTGCATAACCCCCTTTTTCAAAAAAAGAGAGACAAACGATCAGTCTAAAAAGCACATTCATGTGCTCGTCACGTTCACAGAGAAGATGCACTCCAACCTAACTCCACGAGCGCATGAACTCTCCATTGGTCTCTTCCTCCCTTTACCCTTCTTTAAACTGAACAGGAAAAACAAATCATTTTCTTTTCACTGATTTCAACGAGACCAGTCCCAACATGATGAATCTCCCTCAGTTCAGATACACAAAACTACTCCTATGTTTACAGGAAGACTCTTGGGGCAAGGTCCCACACACTTGAATCTGGAGGAGGACCTGTGAAAGCAGATTATCAAGGTTCCATTTGCACAGACCTCCCAGAGCGAGATCTCTCTGGCACAGATTTCGGGGGGATACCTGCAAGGTTTGATTTGCACACACCACCTCGGGCGAGAACCTACTTGCAACCAAAAGCATACACCTATGAACTTTGAGTCTTGACATACATACTCAAATTCAAACTAGCGTATCCTGTGCAATCAAGATGCACATAATAAAATATAATTCCGAATTACAATGGGGAGTGGTGGTCAGTTCAATCATTCAATGATGATATCTTGACGCCCTTGCCCTCCATTGAAAAAAAAGGACCTGCTTGCACAGCTTCACCGAGGATTTGTGCAAGGTCACCCATCCTCTCACAGATTAGAATCCAATTACCGTCGTCACCCGAATATAACGCCCGGTCATTATAGCTGTATTTGGCACAACTTTCAGCCCAGATACGGCCATATTTACTGGGCGTTCTATTCGGGTGAAGACAGTAGCAGAGGTTACACCACCAGTCCATCCGCAGACGGCACTGTAGATTTTAGTCGTATACGAGTACTGGGCCAAAACATATAGCGCCCAGCGCCGGTAGAGGCTCAGTGGGAAGGGACAACTGTAGAATTCCTTTGCAAAGGCCGGCAATGTAGATTCTAGACTTGGAAAAATGCAACTTTTGGTTTGTCAATTTGGCCTCGGATGCCCAGGCCCGGTAGAGGCTCAGCGGGGAGGGACAATTGTAGATTTGTTTTCCAAAGGGCGCCACTGCAGATTCTAGACTCGGAAAAATGCAACTTTTAGTTTGTCGGTTTGGCTTCGGATGGACTGGTGGTTTAAGCTCCCACTTGCACAGACCCCCAGGAGTGATGACCATTTGCACAGATTAATGTGCAACTTGCGCAGCCCTCCTGGGGCATGGTTCCGCTTGGATACACAAATATCGTCACTAGATATAATGAAGATCGAGGACAAGCGCCCTTCAGGACATCCATTAAATTGGAACAATACAGAGAAGATCAACATAGCCCCCTGCCCATGGATGACATGCAAAATAAAATAAAAAAACGTCCAAACTAAAAGCAAGATGATGAAGAAGAAGATCTACGACGAGTACCTCTGCATCCGTGCAAGTGGGACACACAAAATCGTCACTAGATATAATGAAGATCTAGGATAAGTGTCCTTCGGGGCATCCACTAAATTGGAACGAAGATTGGCATAGCCCATGCCCAAGGATGACACACATGAATCAAAACAAGGTCCGAACTAAAAAGAAGACGATGAAGAAGAAGAAGATCTACGACGAGTACCTCTGAATCCGTGCAAGTGGGACACACAAATATCGTCACTAGATATAATGAAGATCTAGGACAAGCGCCCTTCAGGACATCCATTAAAATGGAACAATAAAGAGAAGATCAACATAGCGCCTGCCCAAGGATGACACGCATAAAAAAAAAAAGGGTCCAAACTAAAAGGAAGACGATGAAGAAGAAGAAGATCCACGACAAGTACCTCTGCATCCGTGCAAGTGGGACACACAAAAATCGTCACTAGATATAATGAAGATCTAGGATAAGCGTCCTTCGGCACATCCATTAAATTGGAACGAAGATTGGCATAGCCCACGCCCAAGGATGACACGCATGAATCAAAACAAGGTCCGAACTAAAAGGAAGACGATGCAGAAGAAGAAGATCTACGACGAGTACCTCTGCATCTGTGCAAAGTGGTACACACAAAAATCGTCACTAGATATAATGAAGATCTAGGATAAGCGTCCTTCGGGACATCCATTAAATTGGAATGAAGATTGACATAGCCCACGCCCAAGGATGACACGCATAAATCAAAACAAGGGCCGAACCGAAAAGAAGACGATGAAGAAGAAGAAGATCTACGACGAGTACCTCTAAATCCGTGCAAGTGGGACACACAAAAATCGTCACTAGATATAATGCAGATCTAGGATAAGTGTCCTTCAGGACATCCATTAAATTGGAACGATACAGAGAACATTGGCATAGCCCACGCCCAAGGATGACACTCATAAATTAAAAAAAAAGGTCCGAACTAAAACGAAGACGATACAGAAGAAGAAGATCTACGACGAGTACCTCTGCATCCGTCCAAGCGGGAACCCTCCCCTCCCCCCACCCTGCCCATTTCACTGGCTGAGAGAGGGTTGATGGAAGGCCCAAAATTCAGGGGTTTTCCCCGCATCACCACAAAATTTTGTGAACAAACAATGCAGGCTCATAATACAAACATCAAAAAAACAAACATGCAAAAATAATCCAAAAAAAACAAACTCTAAAGCACTATAAAACCCTATTCGGAGTAGCTTTTAGAGTTCGCCAATTTTTTCTCCAAATTCGGTGTTTTTGCCAACTTTTTCGTTACTGGTCCACATATGTCGAAACTGAATACAGATATACCTGAAACGGTTTTCACCTTTGCAGAAGCTGATGCAGATCCCAGGGTTCGATCCCTAGACCTTATCTGCACCCGTGTACAGCATCCAGTAGACCCCTGTGTGTTTGAGCCCACGACCTGTGTTTTAGTAGTGACTGTTCTTTGTCGTAGGTCCCTGTAGTTGTAGGGATTCGATCTGTAGATCTGTCAAGTAGGGGTTACAGTTGTGTAGAGGTCGAACCTCCTAGGCTAGATGTCTGTAGGCAAGTCGTAAGTCCAACTGCGTCGAGTCAGCAGTGCGACTGCATCGAGTCGGCAGTGCAACCCCGTGCAGTCAGCGGTACCGGTCCCAGTCAATTGCAGTCCAGTCAAGCAAGTACCGTGTGGGATTGTGTGCACCAAGGGCCTGGAGGAAAGGGGCAGGCCAGCGACCAACAGAAGTATAAATCAAGAGGCAGCGTCCAGCAATTCATTCATTCGCTGTGTAAGCCATGCAGAAGCGCTGCCCCAGTGTCTTGTGCGAGGTGGTCTGCAGAGCGCCCGAAGTCGAAGAGGGCTGGAAGAAGATAGCGTAGCCATAGTTAGTAGTTGAGCGGCCATAGCCGCTGTAGGTAGGAGAGAGGCGCTAGTGTGTGAATGTGTGTGGGGTATTCAGGGTGATCCAGAGTTGAGTGTGTGCGAACAGTGGTGCTGGAAACAGCATCGAGAGTTGGGATGTACAGGTGCTGATGCGCCATAGCCTGTTGAAGCAAGTTCGCGTCTGAACTGTGTTCTCAATTTCCATATCTCTGAGTTTTGAGTGGGCGCTGTGCGCCAGTGTGAATCACCATCTGTTTGCACGTATGTGAAGCGAAGAAGAAAGCGAGTCTGATTGCATACCCTAAGGCACATACATATCACACACACACACACACACACACACACACACACACACACACACACAAAAAAAAAAAAAAAAAAAAAAAAAAAAAAAAATTCAGGGAAATATGGCAGTTTCGGTGAAAAATTTGCCGAAAATGACACCACCTATAAACCATTAGTGCTGATAGCTCCAATACCATCGAGCCAATCCACAACACTGAGTTACAAACATCCTTCCACTCATCCGCCGACAGGCGAAGGTGGTATTTTTCTTCCAGTCATTACTGCATTCTTTCTGAAGTCTCTTCACAGACGAGTTTTTTCCTTCCACCTACACCTACCATGGTGGACACGATTCTCCAAATCCGTAATTGACAAGCCAGAAACCATTAGTTCCCTGGTTTGCCCCATCATATATAAACAAGAGCTCTTACCGTGATGTGCAGCCCTAAAGGGCACATGCCGTTTCACAGACCAACTACAGCCAGGAAGGGCATGTACCTGTGTGATTGGTCTATAGATAGCGCGCATGCCCTCTTCCCAGACCAACTGCAGGCATTTCTTTCTGTAGACCGATTACAGACACATGCTCTTCGCACAACAAAACTATATGCGAGAAGACGCATGCTCTTCTCGCAAAACAACTACAGGCAAGAAGACACGTGCTCTTTACACAACGCAACAAGACACATGTTCTTCACACAACACAACTATAGGCAAGAAGGGCATGTGGTCTATAGATAGGGCGCATGTCCTTTCTCCAGACCAACTGCAGACATTTCTTTCTGTAGGCCGATTGCAGACACATGCTCTTCGTGCGACACAACTATACTATAGGCAAGAAGGGCATGTGCCTGTAATTGGTCTCCCCGGGAAAGGCGGATGCCCTTTCTCCAAACAAACTATAGACATTTCTTTCTGTGGACCAATTACAGACACATGCTCATCATACAACACAGCATGATAACGGCATAACACAGACCATCTGCCTCGCAGAACCACCATAGTGACCTTTGGGGAAAAAAGGTCATTAAACCTGATGTGCTTCTGACGTCTCAAGTACAGTATGCACACAAAACATCCACAGAAAAAAAAATAGAAATGATGACCACCAAGATGGAAGTCCTAAAGAGTATACCTTTCAAGGGAACCAGCCGTCTTGTAATCAGCAATGCCAGCCGCCACCAGCTTTGAGGCATCAACACCCTCACTGCAAAACCAGAAGTGCGATCCCATCTGCACAACGTTAGACTTCAAAACCAATCAGAGTGCAAAAACTTTCTCCGAATTGCATGTGAAACTTGCACAGAGTATTTCCAGCAAAAGCCTTCCGAATTCCATGCAGAAAAATTATCTATACGCGAGTTATAACTATCAAACCAGCAGTACACGGCCATACATCAGCCGCAGGCCCCTCACTGCGAGTTTGGAGGCCCAAAACGCGCCGACCCCAACTTTTTCGGAGTAGGTGACGAACAATTTCTCCACAAGGCTAGTGTCCATGTACTAGCGGTTCAAACTTTAAACCACTAGTACCTCCGAGCCTGTTTTTGCCGACCCTGAATTTCACTGCGCACCGAGTTCTGCCGAGCCTGGGTCCCATTGTCCTTTCTTTCTGGTACACTCACAGCAGTTACATCCGAAAAAGAACCAAAACAAAAAAACGACGCAGAAGGAAAAAAATAAGCAGACACTTCCCTGACGACGTGATAACCATCAGATACATTTTCTACAAGGTGGTAGTGAGACTGTGCCCTCAGTTAGGGCATAAGAATTTAAAAAAATGTGTACCCCTTATCCTGCAATCGCGGTCTGATACAGAACGCTACAATACTGGTGTGAGCATGAGGTGAGCCAGGCAGTTAGTTGCCTCGCGTGGACAACGGGACTACGCCCTGCCTTGCTGGCAGGGCATCAAAAACACATGAAAAGAAGAGGGGAGGGGGGAAAGGGGGGGCGGGATTGAAAACAACAGCAATCACAGTCCACACATACTGGCCAGATACATTATATGAGGCCCTAGTGAGACTGTGCCCTCAGTGAGTACTTCTGTCCAATGATAAACTAATGAAGAACAAAAAAAAAAAAAAAAAAAAATCCCTTATGCTGTGATCGCGGTCCGATACAGGACGCTACAGCACCCCTGTGAGTACGCGGTGAGTGAGGCAGTGTGTGGAATCCGCCCTTCCTCTCTGGCACGGCACCAAAAGCAACGAACAGACCAAAAAGAAAAAACAAAAACAAAAGCAATCACGTTCCACAAATTCTGGCCAGATACATTCCTCAAAGCACTGGTGTCACTTCCACCTCCGTGAGGGCCTTCCCGACATCGCTGGAATCAGCAGAATTTATGTTTGTTCCCCTCCGCGCTGCCCATAGGGTCCCAATCCTTTCTTCTTTATTCCTTTCCTGCCAACCCTCCCCGGACCTCCTACTTCTTCGGGAACGGGCATTTTGTCCCTAATTTCCCAACGCTGGCAGACGTACTACTTGTTTAACACCACAGGAAATCCAAACCTTTTATTTGCAGACAGAAAATGAACACCACAGAGAATATAATAGTATAAACCTCTTATGTGCACACAAGGAGAGCGAAGTGCACTCTTCCTCTGACACTTTGTGCAGAGCAGTTCTTTGATGATCTAAAGCCGCAGGTGAGCGCTGATGGACTGTGAGGTGATAAAAAGCTGTACTACACCAAAGTATCGTCAGCATAGAATGATGTTCAACTGCCAAAAAAAAAAACAAAAAAAAACGCTCAGCACATTTCCTCCAGCTTCAGACAAAGCAAGTGGACATTCAAATGAACTCTGTACACTTCTGCAGTAGAGGGAATGTTTGATCCAATCCTGACCAGATGGGCAGACATATGATCCCTGTACATGCAAATCTGCCAGGCAGCTGGTTTAAGCAGCATATCTGCCTGCCACCCCCTCTTGCACCGATGGCAGCTGCACTTGCGGCACGTAGCACACACTGCATCTGGCACCAGCGCACCCAAAAATTTGCAGAAAGAAACTGGGCTACTGGCTCAAGCCCCACATAAGACCCACCCCTTCGGTCCGGTCAGACCGGTCGACCAGGCTGGCCACCAGGCTGAATGAATAACACAAAATGCACCTAGACCGATTCTTTGGTCCCAGATGTACATGGCCCACTTAATTGGTCCATACCTGCCACACAGGGGAAAAAAACAATTGGGAGGGCGGGAAGATCGATGGCCCAGATATTGCCCGACTCTGAAGCCCGCCCATGCAAAGATTGTCCACCTCCGAAGCCCGCCCATACGAAGGACGGGCATTCAAATTGGAATGCCTGTCCTTCTCACAGGTGGGCTTTCCAACTCACCAGCTGCCGCTGTCTTCCCCATCTCAAGCAGCTTCATCATCATCACCATCATCGTCCCATCCTCCAGCGGCCGTGCTCCTCACTGTCGCTGCCATCTCCTCCCTGTCCTCGCTGCCTCGTGCCGAAGGAAGGAGGTACATATCCTCTTCCTCTTATTCTTACTCTTCTTGAATTCTTCTACTACTTTGTCTTGCTCCACGATCTTCAGCAGTGCCGCAAGTTCCCTCCTCAGACTCCCGCGCATTCATCCTCCACGGGGCCACTTCCCTCCTCCCTGGTCCGGACCACCACATCTTCCCATTCTTCTTCTCCTTTTTCTTCTCCTCCTCCTCCTCTTTCTTCTCCTTCCATTCTTGATATATCATAGAGAGAGAGGTGCAGCGGGAAGAGCAGTTTCCCACTACCCATATCCCCCAACTACCCCATCTGCCATACCTACCCTGACTCGCCACCCCATTCCCCGACTAGCCCCACTTTCCTCATCTCCTTGCTTTCACGGCACCACCCCCTATGCTGCCACTCCCCATCCCATGTGTGCCATCTCACCCTTCTTCTTCTTCTCCTTTTCTTGATAGAGTGAGAGAGGCCACACCCCCATCTCCCCACTCTCACGGCACCACCCTCTACACTGCCACTCCCCATCCCATATATGCCATCTCCCCCTTCTTCTTCTTCTTCTTCTTCTTCTTCTTCTTCTTCTTCTTCGTTGTCTTCGTCTTGTTGTTCCTTTTCTTCTTCTACTTTCTACTTCTTAACTTCATACAGTGAGAGAGGGGCCCATGTCAACTCCCCTTCTTCCCACAAATCTCGTTCCCTCCAAGCACACCCATCTCCCTCTCTCCACGTGCCACTATCTCCACCCGTCTATCCCAAACCTCCACTTATCTATCCAACCCTCAACCCATCTACCCTGAACCTCCACCCATCAATACCACACCTCCATCCATACATCCTGGGCGTCCATTCATCCAGCCGACCCTCCACCCATCCGTTCCAACCCTCCGCCCATCCGTTCCAACCCGCCACCCGTTCATTCCAACCTCTGCACATCCAGCTCGACCATCCATCCATCCATCCATCCCGACCCTTCACCCATCCATCCTGAACTCCACCCATCCATCCTGGGCGTCCATTCATCCAGCCGACCCTCCACCCATCTGTTTCAACCTTCCGCCCATCCATTCCAACCCTCCACCCATCCATTCCAACCTCTGCACATCCAGCTCGACCATCCATCCATCCCGACCCTTTGCCCATCCATACATACCAACCCTCCACCCATCCCTCCCAACCTTCCGCCCATTCATCCCGACCCTCCACCCACCCAGTCCGACCCTCTACCCGTCCATCCCAACACTCCACCCATCCATCCCAACGCTCCACCCATCCATCCTCACCCTCCACCCTCCGCCCATCCGTTCCACCCATCCATCCTCACCCTCCACCCTCCGCCCATCCGTTCCAACCCTCCACCCATCCATTCCGACCTCTGCACATCCAGCTCGACCATCCATCCCGACCCTTCACCCATCCATACATACCGACCCTCCACCCATCCCTCCCAACCTTCCGCCCATCCATCCCGACCATCCACCCACCCAGTCCGACCCTCCACCCATCCATCCCAACGCTCCACCCATCCATCATCACCCTCCACCCATCCTTCTTCTTCTTCTTCTTCTTCTTCTTCTTCTTCTTCTTCTTCTTCTTCTTCTTCATCCTCCTTTTCTTCTTCTTCTCTTTCTCTTCTCCGTCTTCTTCTTCCCCTCCTCCTCTCATTCCTCCTCCGGCGTTATGACGAATTCGAGATCGTCCCGTCCGTGTATGAGCTCCTGCGGGCGATGGCCAATAATAGAAGAAGCGCCCTCACAACTTTGGGGGTTCAACAAGATGCTCAGCAAACGCATTGAAGCCCCTCATGGCGTCAGAAACGAAAAGCATTCTGAGATCATGGGTCACGCCAACGATCCTTGCTAGATGGTGCAACACTCGGCCTATGAGGCGAACTTCGTCCTTTCTCCCATGAGGAGGGACCCGAGGTGGCTGCTAGACAAGGATTCCCCCTTCATGCAGATTGCGACGAGTTTTTCCCATCACAGTTGGGTGGTGAGAGACATGGCGGGGATCTGAAGACCCACATCAAGTTTGGCGGTGTCTGGGCATTCCACCGCGAGCAGATGGAGAAGAAGAGGGAAGAGCTGATGTGGTATCCCTTTGCAGACGGACAGCTCACTGACCAGGAATTCTGCATCACAATGGTGGGCTCAGTGCTGCAAGATCTATCCAGAAGAGAGCCTTGAGGGTCACAGTGTGGTGCAGCACTGCCACCTCGGTGGGAGGAACTGATCCTTCCTAGACATGGTTGAAGATCTGGCAATTTGGTCTACATTCACTGGAAAGTGCAGCTTCTTCGCCAGATATCTAGGGAACCTTATTTGATACAGATATCTAGGGATCCTTATTTGATAAGTCGGAGGCCCTATGATGTTATATTGTCAGGCCCTATGGAGGAAACAGAGGAGGACGTGGCCACCAGACACGTCCATTTGAGGAGGGTCCTGAAAGAGAGGACTCCCAAGGGTTGGGGTGCAGTGATGACTCAAATAGCAGCAGCAGCAGCAGCAGGCAGCAGAAACTCAACCCACAACCCACCCCACCCCCCAACATATGCAAAGAAAAAGCCTGGACTCGGGCACATCTCGGTGGGCGCGGTGGGCGCAAAACGAACTCACTGGCCATTCGAAAAAGAACACAAATAAAAGGTGCTGACATCTTTAGTTGCCCGGTAACCAGGACTGGAAAAAAAAAAAAAAAAAAAAAAAAGCAAGTGGGGCCCAGTCCAGGAAACAAATCAGAAAAAAAAATCCAAAAAAAGGGTATGTGACAATGTGTCAATTTGATGTAACACATTATTTCCTTGGGATGATGTCCTAACATCCTCGAGAGTTGGATTTCAAAACAAATGAAAAATGCAAAAAAAAAAAAAAAAAGGTTTCATCAATTTTTATTTTGTAACCAGTTTCTTAAATTTCCTTGCATCTTTATTTTCCCGGGGCCACCACCCCGCCACAGCAGTTTTTGGCACATCGCAAATGTGACTACAAGCAGCACAGCTACTTGGGTGTAATTCCCAAAAGCCAAAAAGCAATTCTCGGTCGGCCCTCTTATACCCATCACAATCCAAAGCGGAAAAGAAAACATATTCAAAAAAATTAAGCAGGCAACGACCGGAATTTCCTCCTTTTCCCCAATATCTCATCAGGCAAGAAACCCTCCGACGTCACCTTGGAGTAAGTGGGGCCTGGTCTCCAGTCCCGACTTCCGTGTCAAGCTGCATTGCTTGCCCAGAAGTCCTACTCTCTGCCTCACCGGTCGCTGCTGCAGCAGCTCCACCACCTTCTAGATGCACTCCTGCGAGCAAGCCGAATCGCCATCGTCGTCATCAGAATCACAACCCACCAGTATACCATAAATGTGAGAAGGAATAAAATTACGCGAACATAACACACAGTCTCACCAACATACAGTGGCTCTGTCAAAGCTACCAGTCTCTCTGGTACTCCCCAACCCAGATAAAAGGTGTTTCCCTTTCCCCACTATGATGCCAGATCATAAAGAAATTTAAAAACAATGACATTAGACCCAAAAAAAAGGAGGAAAGAAACAAAAACATAACATCGCCATTGTCAACCCAACAGCAACACATGCAATCATGATGCATGTACATGTTAGATCAAGGGCTGGTTTCAGGTGCAGAACATGATGCAGCCCTCGTAAATGTACCCCTTGCACAAGAAGGGGACGGGGGTGCAGAGGGGAGGAGAGAGAAAGAGAAAGAGAGACAAAGAGAGAGAGACAGAGACAGGCAGACAGAGATAGCGAGAAACAAAGGAGAGAGAAAGAGAGAAAGTGAGAGAGAGAAAGAGAGAAAGAGGGAGGACGAGAGAGAAAGAGAAAGTGAGAGAAAGTGAGAGAAGTGAGAGAGAGAGAGAGCGAAACAGAGAAAGAGAGAAAGAAAGAAAGAGAGCGAAATAGAGAAAGGGAGAAAGAGAGGAAGAGAGGAAGAGAGGAAGAGAGAGGGGGAAAGAGAGAGAGAGAGAGAGGAGTGCATTCTGTCCCTGACTCCCTTCTGCTGCCAACATTTTACAATTCCGGAATGCACCGATCTCCTACTTCTCCATCTACCCCCACTGCCTCATCCCCCCACACTCGACCCTTCCCATCCCGCAATGGCCACTCTCAACTCTCTCATTGTCGCGAGGCTAGACTCCCCCTCTCTTTCTCTGGCTCCCCCCAATCACACCCCTCTTCCATTATTGCAATGCAAGACTCCACATCACTACCTCTGCTCTCTCCCACAATAGCCAATCTCAAATCTGCACTATACTACTATAGCCAATATCTATCAGGATTTGAACTCGGCATCTGTTCACCAACAGATATATGAGTGTATGAAGTTATAAACCCGGCATCTGTTCATCACGCAGGTACTGAATTCCCGTCTCTCATTATAGAACAGCAGTGAAGGCCTGTCTATGCAAAGCCCGTCTCTGACCTAGACAGAGACGAGAGCCACAAGGTGGGGGACCACAAATCTTACATACGTCCAAAGACTTACAGCAGCAAGGTGGGGACCACAAATGTGTGTGAACAAAGAACAGGGGCAAGAAAACGTTTTACAGCTCGCACACTCGAGCTGCTAGGGATACGGTCATCGAGATCATTAGTGTTTCATCACTGACTGTTAAACCACCAGTACCCTGGTAAGCGCCTTCCTGAACCCACCTGGATCAGTTTCCCAGGCCTTTGCAAAAATGCAGAAGCAGCCTTGAAATGTAGAACCAACAGCCCTTTCTATTCACTCCAGCATTTTTTTGTTTTCGCCTTTTCTTTTCTTTTTTGGAAGTTTTCGCCTTTTCGTTCCCCCTTTGCATATCTTTTCCTTCTCTGTCGCTTTTTCCTTTTGTTGCCTGCTTGTTTTTCTCTGTCCCGTTTTCCTTTTCTGTCGCCTTTTCATTTCCACTTTGTCACCCTTTTCCATATCCATCGCCATTTTATTTTTTTTTTGTCTACCTTCCCCCTTATTTTTTTCTGTCGTTTTTCCATTTTTTTCATTTCGCTTGACAAAAGTGATGTCCCCTATATTAAAAATAAAAACAAGCACCCCCCCTCTTTTTTCTCCTTTTCTTTTTCGAGGGCGACAGCCTTGAGATATCCCCCTGAGACTGACCGGCCCTTCTATTCATTCCACCATTTTTTAGTGAAGTACTACTTCAGGATTTTCGCTCATCTGCTTCCATCTGGATTCGAACTCAGGTATGCAATTCAACAGTGTATGTATGGCTGTACAAGCTGAGGTAAGCCCATTAGTAGCCCCCCCCCTTTTATTCATTCCACCATTTTTGTTTTCGCCTTTTCGTTTTCTTTCGATATCTTATCCTTTCTCTGTCGTTTTTTTTCTTTTTTTGGCCTGCTTGTTTTTCTCAGTCCCGTTTTCCTATTCAGTACCCTTTTCGTTTCCGCTTCGTCTCCCTTTCCATGTCTATCACCATTTTTCGGTCTACCTTCCCCTTGTTTTTTTTCGAATTTTCGCTTGACAAAAGTTGTGTCCCCGACGTCAAAAACAAGCCCCATCCGAGCCTCTACCGTGCCTCGGCCAAACCTGCCTGCCAGAGGTCCCCCCTGAATTCAGGACGTCAAGAGAAAAGAAATGTGGGCAGGGTACTGGTTGCTTTTAAGGGCATACTCGCATAGAACTTTTCTTATGTGTATCTGGCTGCAATTACGGCCAGACCTGGATGAATCTGGCTGCAATCACGTCCAGAGCTTACTAGAAAAAGTGCTAGTGTGAGCATGCCCTAAAACTGCTGATCACGATCAATAACGTTTGTTTTACTACCAGCCAGGCCCAGCACGGGTTCGGCTGGGGAGCAAATTGAGAACAGTCGGCAGGAAAGGTCTTGTTGGGATACCAACTTAAGCCCGGGGTCCGGCAACAAGAAATGAGGTGGTTTAACTGTGGTTTAACTGTGGTTTAACTGTGGTTTAACTGTGACTGTGGTTTAACTGTTGTTTAACTGTGGTTTAACGCCACAATTTTAGGAAACGTATGGGCTACTACAGGAGCGCCCAAATTCATCCGACTAGAAAATTTCTACTTTTTTTTTTTCCGCGGCCGATAGCTGGGCCAAATACTGGTGGTTTAACTGTGGTTTAACTGTGGTTTAACTGTGGTTTAACTGTGGCGCTCACGATCAATAACGTTTGTTTCATTACCTGGAGCATTCGGATAGGGATGGGCTCCAGCAACAGCAGGTGCTGCGGAAGCACCATCAATGTGCACACTCGCATTTGCATTTGCATTCTCCGGGACCAACGTCCTGACCACGCCTTCATTTTGAGTGTCACCTTCTGCCGCCTTGGCCTCCTTTTGTGGGACTGGTGGAGGAGGCATGTCCTTCACCGCCTTGTACTCGTCCAGAATCTGACAATGACCATTTCACGAAAAGCATAACGGTTAGAGACGACATTGCTGAGTGTATCCACATCTGTAAACACAAAGGGAATGCCATAAGATGGTCGGTGGAAAAACAGTTGCATAGACAAAATCACAACCACAGTAGAGAGATCAGTTGATTACTCTCTCTCTCTCTCTCTCTCTCTCTCTCTCTCTCTCTCTCTCTCTCTCTCTCTCTCTCTCTCTCTCACTCCCCCCCACACACCCCCCCCCCCACCCACACACACACACACACACACACACACACACACACACACACACACACACACACACACACACACACACACACACACACACAACCTCCTGATGAGTCGGTGAAAGTCCGCCCGAAAGTCTGGCACAGGCATGCTTTTTGTGGAGTTGTTTATATAACACGGCCTTGCTAAGCTCTCCGTCAGGCAGATCGATAAGGCAGATCGACGGGTCGAGACCGTACTAGCGGTCATGCCATTGGATATCTGTGGCTGAGCGAGTGTGTGGAGTGGGTTTTATGTCGGTAAATATATATCTCACCAATCACCGATCCATACGTCCACAACTCTATCTATCCATCCATCCAACTACCCATATATCTTTCTGTCGATCTACGACCGGTCCTGCTGTCTTTTCCATCGATTTATGGCTATCCATGCATACATCGACCCGTTCAGCCTGCCAGCCAAGCAACCCTATCAATCGGTTTATCCATCCCTCCATCCATCTATCACACCCACGCACCCACCCATCCACACATCCATCCACCCATCCACCCACCCACCCATCCACCCATCCACCCACCCACCCATCCATGTTGGAAAAGCGCGGAAACGGCTTGGCTTGTCATCCATCTATCTATCCACCCATCCACTGATCCACCCACCCACCCACCCAGCCAGCCATACATCCATTCATTTATCCGCCCATCCATCCATCCATTCATGTATCCGGGCATCCATCCATCCATCCATCCATCCATCCATCTGCGATGGGTTTACACCCAGAGAGATCCAGGGGAAAGAAACAACGCGCACGTATGAATCGCATAGTATGTTCACAGAGAAGAGAACCCTGCCCCCGTGAGTTCTCTTCTCCGTTAACATACTATATAATCCATTCGCGCGTGTTGTTTCTTACCCCGCGGCTCTCTCTGGCAATAAATCCATCGCAGTGGATGGGTGGATGGGTGGATGGATGGGCGGATGGATGGATGGATGGATGGATGGATGGATGGATGGATGCGTGGATAGGTGGGTGTATGGATGGCTGGGTGGATGGGCGGATGGGCGGATGGGTGGATGGGTGGATGGGTGGATGGGTGGACGGGTGGATGAGTGTACAGGTGGGTAGGTGGATGGGTGGGTGGATGGATGGATGGATGGAGGAATAAATGTTGACGACATGGTTTGCACGAGTTTGCCGTGAATGAATATAGACACAAAGGGCAGGCTACATTTTAAAGAGAGACGGAGAGACAACGTTTGAATTTCAGTTAGAGCGAGGGAGAAGGAAAGAAGAGGAGGGAAAAAGATGCAAGAGCTAAATGAAGGATAAAAACACTCACCTTGCAGGCAATGCGAACATTCCGGCTGTGTTTATTTATATCCAAACAACAAACAACGAACAGAGAACAAAATCGACAAGATCTATTGTTAACGATCAGAACATTTGGAATATTCACCAGCATGACAAAAACAATGAAAAAGAACAAAATTGACAATATCTATGTTAAGTTGTTAACAACCAAATCATTTGGACTATATCCACCAGCATGCAATGACCGGGACGGGGAGAGGGGCACACTTTTGTTCGATAACGGTAAAAAAGATGGATGGACTGATTACTTGATTAGCCTTCCAGTTCTACTCGTCCTCTACAACACAGGAGAAAGGGGAGGTGGAGATGATTTCCACGTGGCCCTCTCAAAACTACTCCTGCAGATGTAGCTTCCTTCCACGTGGCTCTTCCAAAAACCTTCCCCTCCTGAAGCTTTATCTCGTTATCACGACGTATTACTCCTATCTATCTCCTACAATCCCCTTGAATGCGCCTCGTTCGACTACACAACACTCTATATGTACGTATGAATTTGGAGCTCGTGATCGTCCAGATTCATTCAAGATGTTGGACTCCTCCGAATGCACCTGGTCCACGAAGGCGTCCATATGCGTGTAGAATATTTCAGAAGTGGAGCATGGCCCAATATCTCGTGGCTCTCTCAAAAGGCAGCGTCCTGCAGACGGCGCTTCCACGTGGCTGTCCCAGAAATCTTCCATCGGTAAAGCTGTACCTCGTTCTCCTGAATATATCTTTGCATTTCTTTGAATTTCTTTGAATTTTCTCTCGAAATTATCTTCAACTTTTCCGGAATCCTCATAACTTTCTCTCCGAAGCTTCTCCGAAGTTTCTCCGAAATTCTCCGAAATTTCTTCCGATTCATTTCCCCTGAATTTCTGACAATTCTGTCAATACGCCACAGGACCTCCTGACAATTTTATTTTTTTCCATCTGCTCTTAAACGTCCTTCGAGGCAACAATGGCCCTCGCTGCGCGACTCTTCAAACGTGGACAAGACAAAAAGATGCCGACTGCATCTTTCCAACTTCTGGCTGAAGATTCACTCTCGGCCAGTTGGCACATATGCCGATTACTGGAGCAAAAGCCCAGTCACTGCATTCATTCATGCATCGCTTGGCCGATATATCCGGAGAGCATGAGCACATTAATGGCAAGGAAAACAGAGAAGAAGAGATAGGAGGAGGAAAATTAGCGACCGGAGACGTCACAAAAACAACGGGCAGAAATACTGAATGCCAAACGGAAACCCAAGATCCCGAGGAAGCAGAGGCACGAGCGCTCGGCAAACTAGAAGGCAGCGCACGCGGCAGAGAGAGAAAGAGAGGAAGAGGGGAGTCAAGAACACAGTAGAGAGAAACAGCAAGGGAGATAAAGTGGGGATGAAGGGAGAGAAGAGGAAACAAGGGAAAACAAGGGTAAACAAGGGGGGGGAAACAATGGGGAAACAAGGAAGGGGGAAATAAGGGGGAGGCGGGGGGAGAGAAGGGGAAAGACAGGGAAAGACAGGGAAAGACAGGGAAAGACAGGGAAAGACAGGAAGAGAAAGAGAGAGAGAGAGAGAGAGGAAGAGAGAGGAGGTGGAAGATAGATCGTGTAGGGAAAGGGATGGACAGAAAGACAGCAGCCGAGAGCCATCGGAAAAGAAATAGGTCAGAAAAGAGGAGTAATTGAGCCACAGACACAGAGAGAGAAGAACAAAGGTAGAAGAAGAAAGAGGGCGAGGCGAAGGAACGCAAGGAAGGATGGAGATTAGACGAAGAGACAGAACGAAGAGACAACAGTCGATGTCACGCACGGTTCGGAGGGCAGAGAGTCACCTCTGAGCCCTACTCATTTTAGGTTTCGATTTAACTGAAAATATAGATGACGGCAGGGAAGAGTAAGAAGAGAGGAGAAAGGCAAAAGAGAGGAAGCACTCGGGAGTAGACGGGACAGACGGCGGGAAGGGGGAGACAGGAGAGAGGTGAGACGACACAGATGGGGAGCAGGGAGGGAAGACAGAGAGGGGAGACAGAGAGGGGAGACAGAGAGGGGTGACAGAGAGGGGTGACAGAGAGAGGAAAGAGAAAAAAGGTAGGGTGGAGAGAAGGGAAGAGGAGGAAAAGATTAAGGAAAGACGGAGGAGAAAGAGAAAACGAGAGACCGCGGGGAAGAAGATACCCGACACGCCCCTTGCAAAAAAGACCCGGACGCGCGATCCATGGATCCCTCGATAATACAGCGCGCCAAGCCACCTGGTGCGCAAGAACGGCGGGAAAGAAAGGGGCGTGGAGATGAAGAAAGCGGAGAGAGGGCGGGGGAGGGCGGGGGGGGGGGGCAAGGAAACCGATTCACACAGCGCGCCAAGCTGGAAGACAGACAGCAGAAGAGATTGGCCACCAGGTCGGTAACTTTCCCGCCATCGTGAATTGACAGTCCATGGATCCCCGATCATACAGCGCGCCAAGCGGTAAAGAAGGGAGCGTGGAGATGAAGAAAGGAGAGGGGAGGAGGGGGGGGGGCAAGGAAACCGATTCACACAGCGCGCCAAGCTGGAAGACAGCAGAAGAGATAGGTCACCAGGTCCGTAATTTTCCCGCCATCGTGAATTGACAATTCATAGATCCGCCATCATAAAGCGCGCCAAGCTACCTGGTGCGCAAAAACGGCGGGAAAGAAGGGTGTGTGGAGATGAAGAAAGAAAAGCGACGCAAGGAAACTGATCGACACAGTGCGCCAAACTGGAAGACAGACAGAAGAAGACATTGGCCACAAGGTCGCTAACTTTCCCGCCATCGTGAATTGATAAATATGGTACCACGACTAACAGCGATTCCACCTATTGAAAAAAAAAAAAAAAAAAAAAAAACAGAAATAGAGACTGATCCACCTACCTCTTGAGATCTCGTGGTCCCCTCTCACCGTCGATGAGGTCGTCCAGGAACAGATCGTACGTACGCTTCAGAGATTTCAGGCAAAGCTTTTTGAATGACTGTGGCTCTATCTCGATCCCCGCCATGGCCGCCGGCATCTGACCACCACAACCTCTCTCTCTCTCTCTCTCTCTCTCTCTCTCTCTCTCTCTCTCTCTCTCTCTCTCTCTCTCTCTCTCTCTCTCCGTGTGTGTTCGTGTTGGGGTGAGGTGATCGCGGTATATGAGCAAATCCCCTCGATGCCCTAAATAACCCTACAAGCTCAAAATAGAGTACCACTAACCTTACAAGCATAGAACTACCCAGGTTCGCAAACTGTCCGGGTAGGAACCTGGAACATTCCTTGAAGTATCTGCCGATCAACCAGAGTGTGTGCAAATGAAGTGGAGCTCGGATAATTAGAGATGAGAAGGAAAGGGAGCAGACCACGCAGCAGAAACTAGATGTGCAAGCGACAGTGCAATGACTCCCCACGCGTACTGCGCGCCGATTCCCTCCTAGGGAGACGCCAGATCACCGCTGATCCGAGCGCGGAATTCCCTCTTCCTGAACGCAGGACCGTTCCATCGTGACAGCGCTCATTGTGAAGGGGCCAAAACTTTCTATTTCCGGAAATTCCCTATTCAAAGACCAGCAAAGAGATGCCAGAGAACGAGAAGATCAGCAGCAGCACTAGGGAAACCTCCCATTAACCCTATCTTCTTCTACAGCACTAGGGAAACCTCCCATTAACCCTATCTTCTTCTACCCCCCTAAAACCACCTCATGGATACCCAGACATCCTGCCCCATTCCCATAAAAATGTGCGTGTGTGTTTGTTGTCATGTTCGCTTTACACAACTCCCCCCAAAAAAAATCATGAGTGTGCCAGACTGTTTCGTGTGCGTGCGTGTGTGTGTGTGTGTGTGTGTGTGTGTGTGTGTCTGTGAGAGAGAGAGAGAGAGAGAGAGAGAGAGAGAGAGAGAGAGAGAGAGCTGCTGCGTTTTGTCCTCAGGATACCACTGCGCGGAATGAACAGGTTAGAGCGAAGCTGGTGGCAGAATTGGGCCTGAATGCGATAGCGAAACTGGCGGGCGAATTTGGGCATGAGTGCGAATCTTTTCGTTTCTTTCTTGGATTGTCTCAATGGCCAACAACCACCATCGCTCCGGTCATTCGCTGACTTGCGTGGCCTTCAACCCACGTGGCCATGTTTGCCAATGGTGTGATGTTGCATCGTGTTGCCGCCACGTGACTGCCACGTGTTGTTACGTGTCAAGACGAAGATAACACGTCGATCCAAACCGTCATCGCAAGCCGTGGGCCACGCATGGAACTTGGGTTGCCGAAGCCTCTGTGGGTCGTCTGACCCATTCACGTTCCTGCCATGGGGGTAGGCGGCTGGACGCCGACTATCGGCGGACAACCGGTCGCCCAAACCTGGTCGCACAACGGATAGCCAACCATTGCTCGCGCCGTCGGCAGGATCCCAGTTTCCCAGATTCTTCGTTTCTCAACGTCGATGCCAATTATCAACGGCCAGAAATGAATGATCTGGGTAACTGGAACCTCACCACCGGTATTTCCCCTCGACTTTTTATATTCTTCTCTCAATTTCACCTACCACTACTCCTAAGTTTAGGCTTACGGGGAACCCCGTAGCAGCCCGTCAGCACCAGTCCGAGTTTCGTTCCACCACACTGGATTGAAAACTCAATTTTTCAAGTCGTCATCCAGGCCGTTGATGTAACGGTAAAGAATCTAGAGCGGCAAGCTGATAATCGTGAAGTGGGGGTGGGAGGAGGGAAGGGGAGTTCGACGCAGGAATACGCAAGACTGTCATGCCTCGGTGAACTGGACTGGAGTAAATCAACTTACCTCCTCCCCCAAAGATGTGAACTGAAGGTGGAGTGGGGAATGAGGAGGGTAGAGGAGGGGAGAGGAGGGGAGAGGAGGGGAGAGGAAGAAAGGTTTCTGGGAGTAAAGATGTGAACTGAAGGTGGAGTGGGGAATGAGGAGGGTAGAGGACGGGAGAGGAAGAAAGGTTTCTGGGAGTTCTGATCAGCATTCAAGTGGGAACTACAAACCAGGGACTACTGCTGCAACACAAGCTGTCCACAAGACAAACTTTGGGGTACAGCATGGCACATCTCCATCATAGGGAGAGCCTTGGTCACCAACGTTTCCCTCTTCTCCATATTGTGGTTCGTGAACTTGCGGAAGGTTGCGGAAGGGGTGCTCGCCGCAATTAAACCACTACTGTAGTACCTTTCCCAGCTGTCGAATCCGATCCTCCCCCTACCGATATGCCAAGCCTTGCCGAGCCTACAAGTAGCAGGATTGGGGTCCTTTGAAAAAACAAAAAATAAATAAAAACGCAAAAGAAAAAACGAACTATACTCTACCACAAAAGAAAATGAGAAAAGAAAAACAAAGAAATGAAACAGGGAAGGGAGGGAGGGGAGGGGGGGGGAGAGAGAGTGAGAGAGAGCTGCGAAAGTGGGAAGCTGCGAAAGTGGGAAGATACATTCCCGTTTTGCACCCATGAAATGTGCGGGAAGGGGGGGGCGAGAGAGGGAGAGGGAGAGCACTGGGAATGAATCATTCTCATTTTGCACCTATCAAACGTGTCCGGGGGGGGGGGGGGGGGGGGGGGGGG